TATATATATATATATATATATATATATATATATATATATATATATATATATATATATACATATATGTTGAAGATTTAAATATTCGTATTTAAAAGCCGAAACAATAAGAATGTTCAGGATTAGGTAAGTGTTTGGGAATTGATACTTTTATCTTACATAATTTGAAGCGAGAGCTTTCAACGGTAAAGTCACTTATATGTGTTAAAACAAATGAATGTTTTCTACGTTATAATACAGCGAAGTATTTTAATTTCATGATATTTTTATGCAGTACAGTGCGATCTCTAATAATTGATATTTTTTTTCACGATAATGGATCTCTGAAATGTGTTCTATGAAGGCAAAGTCGAGATTAAGATTAAAATTAAAACGAGACTGACTCGACAGTACTTACCATCATCAATACGTCGCCTTGCTTGAGCCTACCATCCTTGGCTGCGACGCTGTCGGGATGTACGACCGATATCACTGTACGATTTCCTTCCGGCTGCAAGCTAAAGCCCAGTCGACTGTTCCACCCACGCGTCAGCTCCACCATGAACACCTGCAACAGCAGAGTGCGGATTGCGCAACATTGCGATGCTGGTGCTTGTGTTCACGAGTAGCGCGCTCATGTATATCTCGATGATATCGAATAATAAAATGTATATCCAGTAATAAAAGATATCACACTCAAATATTATCACATTAAAATATTGTGACTTTATCTCTTATTATTTTTTTCGGAAATTTTAATTTCTCACATTTCAGATCGTATAAAATAATTATCGAATTTTTTCATTTTATATCGTAGTTCGCTTTTAATGATTAAATATCATATTATAAACGAATATATTGTACTAGAATATTAAATTATATTATAATATATATATATATATTAATTAATTTTTCTAAATTCTAAATTGAATTACACTAAACAATTAATTTGTTCATCTTTGTGAGTACACACGTCTCTCTTATGTCATTTTATCATTTCTTACTAAAACACGATTCAATTACACATAGACTTTTCTTATGTAATTCTATCAAGTATTTTAAGTAGTCAAATTATCTATCGGGATCAAGTTCCGTTGCATGAAAGTGACCTACCTCGCTGCCTTGTTCAAAGTCTTCAGCGGGAATGACTGAGTCCGTAACGTCCTTGCCGGTTTCCTCCTCGTGTTCAGCCCGGTCCACTTCGTCGTCTGGAGCGAACATTACGCCCTTCCACTTCAATAGTCCCTTGCTACCGCCCGGGTCGTCCGTTCCCAGGACCTTCCCTGCGTGATGCGATCAAAAATCGAGATTACTGAATTGAAAGTAACATATTGGCGCAAATTGATCATGACTTTTGCCGCGATTTCACTGTTATCTTATCGTTCTTGCCCTCTCCACATCGACTTTGTTTCCGATAAAGTAACATGAGATAGATCGCGCACACATAACGCACGCATCTGATCGACGTTGATTTTAAAGCAGTAACGATTAATTAATCTGACCACAAATTTACCAAAGAATCTAGTTCAATGATATTGCAAAACTGATAGATTAAAAACTGTTTAAAGTATCAAGCACTCACTGAACACCAAGGATAACAATAAACGTTATATTAATAATATAATTTCCTATTTAACAATGTAATTTTATTACATACAACATGAGTTATATCGCACTTAAATTATTCAGTAGAAAATCATAATACTGATGTAATCTCTCGCTGTAACTTGAATATACTTTACAAAGACTAGACAAGTATTAAAAGAGTAATTCAAATGTGAAATTAAATAAATAAATGAGCGAGTGAAAATTTATGTTTTTTAACCAAGCAAGAACTTATTCTGCTAATTCTGCCGTACTTATAGTTATGTCTAAAACTCGTCTTTGAAGTGAGACATTCAGATTTTAATTCAAAGTTGGATGAGAGTTTTACAAATAATCACGCAGATTTCTCGTTATTAATTAAAGTTATTAATTAAAAATACATTGGTGCATTATCGTGCAGATTATCCGCCATCTTCTCTAATTAATAACTAATTAAAAACTTTACGTAGTCGTTTGCAAAATAGTAGATGAATTTTGTGTTCAGTTTGACTTAATCTACATGTACACGATGTTGGTACACTTTGTGCCAGACACTGTACATCATCTAACTTTGAATAAGAATTTTAGTATCTCATATGAGACAGGTTTCAAGTGACAACTATTAATATAGATCTTAGTCTGCCACGAACGAACAAAACAAGCAACGAGGAAGCGCAACACGGCGTCCCGAATTACCTGGTATGTCCTGATCGCTGGAGTGGGTGGCTTTGCTCTTGGAGCCGGTTGGATCGCTACTGGTGCCACAGGCCGGATTGGCGCTCTGATAAGCCGGATTCTTGTAACTGAAAGCGGCAGTGCTGGTGCTGCTGGTCGACGAGAGTACAGGCGGCATCGAGGCCGGCTCGGACGGCAAGTCGTTGTCGTGCTCGTCGCTCGACAGTATCATCACACTCCTGTCGTCGTCGTAGCTCGGCTCGGCCAGTCGGCCGCGCTCCGCTTCGGCGAGGATCACACCATCCTCCGGATATTCGCTGTCCGAATCGACGCTGCAAAACTGGAAGTGCGGCTTGCCCTGAGGCGCCGACAGGTCCAGGAAACTCGGCCTGGCTGCAGTGCCGTTGTTTGATAGTCTTGTAGGATCGTCGCTCGGCTCGTCGCAGATGTCATAGAACGGCGGCGGATCGATTATGTCGGTCGCAGGTGTGTTCGCCTGGGAATTGGTGATCTGCGTCCGTATCGAGCACTGGTCCGAGTCCGACGTCTCTGCCTGGCTGCCCGTCGACATTGTTTGCACGGCTTCGTGCGACTTCTCGGGGGTTTCTGCGAAGAGAGTGCTTGCCGTGAGAACTTGCCTGAGGACTCATCACCGGGGATCTACTTAATCCCTCGTGGTAATTTTGAGAGACGACTTGGCGCTGAATATCCTTCGTTGTTGCTTTAACAGCAACCTTCGATTGTCGACTAACGCGACAGCCAATTTCCGCCAGTTCTCCCGATATTTACGTATTGATACGGATTGAAAATATGCGAGGCTTAATCACTCTCGAATGCACTTGGACAAATTTCTATGGGACTGACAATCTAATAATAAATTGTCGATATGATTAACCTTTAGACTGTTGGAAAAGCCACTTTTTGTGGCTCTTGAGTTTGGATTAAAATACTATTATTTTTAGTGGTATTTTAAATACTAAATGTATTAAACATATATGTGTGTATGTAGCCTACGTAATGTGTGTCTCTTCGGTGCCCGCTTTGCGCTTGTTCGCATTTACGTCGCCGAAACATGCAATAATTGTAATGCTCCATTATGCATAACAACCTGCTTTGAAAATTATTATTTGAAAGAAGTTTTATCATAATTACGGAAAAAAATCAACATAAAAAAAATAAAATTATAAAACAAGCAAAAAAGTAAAAAAGTAAAAAAATACAAAAATTAAACATTAAAAACGAAACAAAAAAGCATGAATCTATATGTTTATTATATGTTTACTATATGTTTACAATATGTCTACTATATTTTTACCATATGTTCGCCTATATGTTTATTTATATTGTCAATATTGCGTTTAGGACTCGAAATTTCATAAATCTATGTTCAGAATTGGAATCAGCGATACCAAAAACTTCCAAAATACACTATTTTTGACAAAATAAAATTTTTTATATTTGATCGTGTGTTCCCTGTCGAGAAAGCCACTTTTGTGACTCTGCACAAATCTTAAAATTCTGCGCTATGTGTATGTTACTTACATAGAAAAATTTTTGAGAAAAAACTTTTTATCACTTTTTTATGAAAAAATGCCGACAGCAGGGGTTAAAGGTTAAGATATACGATATACTATTATAGTAAAAATTACGTCACAAAATTATATTTCTTTTTACAATGTTTTTGTAAAGCTGAACTATACTAAAATTGCAGCATAAATTACTAAAAAAATAATAAAGAAAATAGTAAATTTGACGATCTACTGGATACACAATATATATAACAAGCACTAAAGTAATTATAATAATTTTGTTATAAAAAGTCAAATATGCATACAATTTTTAGATAAATATATGTTAATTTCGATATAATATCATATTTCTAATATCATAATTTTGCATAGTCCAAGATTACAACAATTTTGTTGTAACTTTTGCCGCGATATTTTTTCCGTATACTATTTCGTTTTAGGTCAGAATCGCAAAGACTTTATCTTATTTTAGTTGACAATATTCTTAATATTGTTAGCTTCATTAGTCCACATGTTTTCTCAAAATCATCATGTTACTAATTAATTGCTCGATCATACCTTGATCGATTTCGGCAGTGGGAGTGCGCGTGGCCAGTCGACGCAGCCTTCGAGGAGAATTGCAGGATGCACCGGGCGATTGTTGCTTGCAGCTAGATCCGCTCGACGTGCCCGGTGACAGCTTTCGTACCGCTAAATCACACAGCATATCCACGGCTTCTTGCCTGTCGGGAAGTATCGTGTAAGTAAAAGCCATAAGTTATCGCTTGGGACACTGAGTGCTCGTATCCTGGCCGGATACGACGATGTTGGTAAGTAATTTAAAACGCAAAACGCAAACGTCGGCGAAATCAGAGCCCGCGATCTTTTATCGACGATATTTTCTCGTTAAGCTTGAACGGGACGAATAAATTGATTCTGTATGTGCGATCGGTTACGTTGCCGAAGAAAGCAATCGCGTGGGTTTTGCATATAACATAAAGGAATATCCGCGAGAGATAAAATCGAAAAATTACATTCGCCGGATATCAAATGTTCTTCTATAAGTTAAAATAAAACTCTGCCTAGATAAAAGAGCAGTGACACACATATACACAGTTAAGATTTTCATGAATTTTTGTTAAATATTGATATGTCCAGAATAATCGTTTCTGCTCTGATCGATTTCCTCTTCTGCCGTTTTACGACTTTATACTTTCGATATCAGGTGTCTCATTAATTAAACTGCAAATTGGGATTCTGTAAATGTACTTAATCACATATTTTAGAAAGAATTGTATTCCCATAACGTTGTAAATGGGCTTTTAGCGTTCAAGAGACTTCATAGACGTATATTTCTATATGTAAAATAATATCTCTTTCGACAAGATCGATTCGGTTAATGAATACACTTATACCTATTTTTTGTGCTGGATTTTGAAAGTACTAAAATTCTAAATTATTCGAGATATATGGAGAAAATATTGTAGTAAAAATTACAATATAATTTTTGTAATCTTAGACCATATAGAATTATGACTAAAATATATTATATATTTCCTTAAAAATGTTTGATTTTGACTACAAAATTATTCTAATTATTTAAATGTTTTTTAATTACGTATTCGGTAGGTCATCAAATTTACTATTTCTTTAGTAATTTATATTATAATTTTAGTACAGTAATCTGACTGGGACACTATTTTGTGACCTTATTTATTTATATATATTGCTCATTTGTTGCAATAATGACATAACTAAAAAATAATGTTTTTTAAAAAAATTGTTATCGATAAAAAATATAAACAAAAACCGTTCTTTTTATAGTAATAACTAATAAATGCTAAAATTTTGATTTATATAATTGTTACAGCAAATAAACGATATATATTATTTTTCTACAGGTCAATTGTATATATTTTATAAATATTAGCATAGCTTGTTAGGTTTTTAGTCTGTTAACTAATTTTGTAATAAAAAGCCAAACGTTTTCAAAAAAGTATATAGTACTTCGGTCATATATAGTAATTCAAGTTAAAAATTTTGTTATAGTTTTCCCTACAACATTTTCTCCATGTAGTAAAGAAGATAGAGAGTCAAACTGAATTTTTCGACTGACAAAGACTTGTGAGAAAGATTCGATATGAGTATGCAGAAGTCCAATAAACAATTCAACGAGATACCTCAAGCTCGTTCGTGGTGGACGGAGGGGGTGGTCGGGCTCGGTGGGCGACAGTGCCGAGACCGGGGTCTGCGCCAGGTCACGGTACAGCCGCAGCTTCACCGTCGGGCCGCACTGTCGCAGCAGTTGAACCGCTTCCTCGTGGGTCATCGGCGACAACGGTGCGCCATCCACCGCGACGATTTTGTCGCCTGGCCGGATTCTGCCGTCGCTGAGGGCCGGCTCCCGCACCAGCGCCCGCACATAGTGGCCCAGGGCGCTGCTATCCGCCTTCCTCAGGGTGAAGCCCAGGCTGCCGCCGACCTTCGTCATCTCGATATCGAATTCCTGCGAACAGTGTTACGTTTTTGCATTCGCAACAGAAATATTCATCAGGGATACATGCGTATGCATTCCACGCGCGGAATTTCCCGTTTGCGCGCCTCATATTTCTCGCCGCGACGAGTCACCGCGGCAACAAGCGGTCTTGTGTATGCATCGAATATTGTATATGAATATTATCCGCCGCGGATCGATATCAAAGATGCCCCTAGGAGTTGAATACTGAGGTCGCGGTGTGCACGCGCGTGTACTTCGCGGCTTTATTTTGTCGTGGGTATTGTCTTGAAGGAAATTTTCGCCTCCGAGAAGGGAGAAGGCGAGAATATAGACCATCTTTTTTGTTTTAGACGAAAACCCTATATTAAATGTAATAATTGCATCAATGATTGCCAGAAGTGTTGGAAAATATATCTCTTATAATGTATCTATAATTATTAGGGAAAAAATAAACTGTTCGAAGAGCACATTATTTTCTAATATAGTATAACAAGTAAGGTCTTGGAAAATGGAGTGAAAAAATGAAATAAGCATAAAGAAAAAAAATTTACTTTTTGTTATTATAAGATTGTTGATGTTAAAACAACTTTTGTAATTGAATTTCTTTAAGTGTAAAAATCATGAATTAAAATCATGAATTAAAAAAATGAAAATAAAAATTAAGTTTAATAATTCAAATTATGTAGAAGTCCTTTGATGAACAAAAGTCTCAAATAAAAAAATTACTTTTATATTCAATATCTTGTTCCAAATTATCTATTTCCCAAACTATTCAACGAATCTCAAAGTAGAAAAAATATTTTCAAATAATTAACTCTGCAATTTTGAAATGTAACCTTATTACTAATCGATACATAGTAAATCGAAAATAGTTAATATATTAAATTCATTGATTAAGACAAGAAAAATGTTTTCGAATCTTACATTGTGAAAAGTTTTAACAGGAAGAGAACAAAGCAGCTTTTCTTAACATTATAAACAACGTGACAATGACGCCAGATTTGATGGCCCATAAAGACTTTAATGATTATATTTCTTTTAATTATTGACAGATCGCAGCAATAGTTTAGGAAATAAGCTTTGTTTCATATTATCACTTTTCTTCCCTGCCAAATTTCGCGAGATAGAACTCTATAAATAGAATCCCGCTTTCGTTAGTCTCGATTCAATTTAGTTGTTTGATAGGTAAGTTATAATACACTTCAGTCGAGTTATTAATTTAGCCGAGCTTATTAATCAAATCGATCGATCGATCGTTCGGTCTTGCTCGTATTTCTCTGGAAACAGTGACCGTGTAGTCAAGTGAGGTTTATGAATAATTATTTGCTCGCGCTGCTGCGGGAAGCAGCAGAACATTCTACCATCTCTACTATCAACCGCTGATATTGTTTCTGCGCAATAATCACATTGGTGATAATTTGTCTTTGTTAAAATTAACATCCATATTAGCGTGTATTATGAATGAGCGTAATATCGATGAGCTGCATAGCCGTTAAAATTAGTAATTTAATAATTGTTAATTTACATTATTCACATGATCAGAAATCACAATATTATTACACCTTTCGAAGTAACGCACGATTAATAAATTGCTTCCCATCTGTTGCTATTTAACTTTGAGAGTACAAACGAGATATTGAATCGCTTCCCGATATTTTAATCATCGTGCCATTTCTTTTTCTTTATTTCCCATCGTGTGAACCGTCTCGTATAAAGCTGTAGTATCCTGTCGTCCCCCGACCGCAGGATTAATTTAAAATCCTTTGAGCCATATATTTTATTTTTCAATAGAATTTTTTCAAATTTAGTATATAGGGGCTTTTGAGGTCGCTGATTATGAATTTTAGTTAAAAAAATTCAAAATTCGAAACAGCACAGATCCAATATGACGACCATAGATTTTCAAAATTGTTCATACTTAGGTAGTTTTTAAAATTAGTAATCTCGCTTTTAAAATTATTTAGAGATAATGATATCTCCTCGATATAAAGTTGATATATTAGAATTTTTTACAAAAAGCTTGCATTAAAAATATATCAATATTTTCATTATCGTAAAAAATAGAGATTACAGAAAAAAAATTTTGAAAAAACACTGTGTAAAACACTGTTAATTGTTGTGAATAAATCGTTAGGTATATTGTGTGTTAATATCTAATAATTAGCTTTAAAACATGATTTTTGTTTGAAAAAAATGTTTTTCTATACTTATTATTACTATTTAAATTTATATATATATATATATATATATATATATATTTTTTTTTTTCTCATAACAATTTGACAATTAAACATTTAAATTATTTTTTAGTTATTTATATTCCTTACGTTTTTGAGAACATACATATAGTAATAATATAGTCGATTAATAATAATATAGTAATAATATATCTCTTGTCGGTAAGTCGGTTAAAATCACCAAAAGTAAAGAAAAACAGAACGTTAACATCTCACTAGGAGTTCCAAGAGTTAAGGTATTTTTCCTCAAATTAAACTAAACCGATCGATACCACGTTACCAATTATTCATTCATTCGAGAGATAGTAAGACATGACAAATAACCTTGTATACACTCATTAGAGCTCTGTTTAGGAACACTACTTACGCCACAAGGCTCGATCTGCAGGGGCGGTAAGGGGTTGAGTATACGTAACGACGGCGGCTCACGTCTTGCTGGGGGTGGCGGTGGTGCGCCGGGTGGTGTGACATTACTATCTCCTGGAAGTCGACATACCACCAACTCGACCGTGCTGGGCGTTGTACGCAGAACTTCGAGAGCCTCCTGCAACAAGTAGCATCGAAATAAGATTATGCGCGGCTCTCTCCCTCTCCCCCCTCTCTCTCTCTTTCTTTCTCTCTTTCTCGCCACTCCAACTATTTATGTAGATAATGCGAGCGTCCGAAATCACTGTAGCGTTATCCTCTTTAAAGGACGTTATGATTTTCAGGGACTTAAAAAGCCGCGACAGCAGGCAGCTTCGGTCCCCTGTCGTGACAGCCATGAAATTAGATTGTAATGGGATGCCAGAGTGAAATCCGATAACGCGTAGAAAACGAGTAAGTAATGTTCGAGATAGACATTCAGGGAGGAGATTCCGATTTAATATTTCCTTCTAAATATATAGAAATCATCCTGATAATTATCAACGTTAATTACTGATATTCTCTTTCCCAAGCACGGATGAAACATTGGAAATATATTACTTGGCTAAGTATGGTTATATTGCAACAAAATTTTAACCTTATCTTTCGCCCCAGCAAACAGAAAGGTTGTAGAAATTATAGGTACTCTGCAAATGGTAGGTCCGACCTCCTTTACTTCCAGTCTACATGTGTTTGAGCGGAATTCTCACCGCGGTATGCCGTATAATCAAACCTTAAGAATCTCTCAATCATAGTATTCGTTTTGCAGACTACACGGAGGAAATATTGTAGTAAAAATTACAACAACATTTTTATAATCTTCCACGGGACCATGCAGAATTATATATACCAGATTGTGAAATTTATTATTTCTATAGTAATATATTAATTATAGTAATTTTACGGTACAGTTCAGATTTACGAAAAACATTGTGAAAAGGAATATAATTTTAATGACATGATTTTCACTACAATATTTTTCCGTATATACAACAAAGTATACAATAGAGAGATAGTAATATTCTTTTGGTTGAGACAGCTATGTACTAATTAAACATTACGTATCATAAAAACTGTACGATGGGCATGTAACAACGGCAATTTTTAATGCAACATCTGTTTAACTCGAACTCGCATAAATTGATTCTTTAACCATAGCGAATGTGTTTGCAGTAACCATCTCCGTGAACACATTTTTATGAGTTCTCGGGAAATTATTTTCACACTTGATTTAGATTTGTTATCGTGATCATCTTCTGCGCTTAAATAGCGTACTTCAGAGGGAGATCATACCAAGAGGAGCATAAAAATTTTGACATTTTTCCGTGACTCTTGGAAAGTGATCTGACGTTTTATATATACTTTTCATTATCATCTCAATATGCACTTCCCCTTCTTTAGTTTCGACTTTAGTTTAGAGATCGTGCTTAACGAGTAGCAAATGTGCGCGATTTCGCTTGGACGCCGTGATGACGATTTCGTATTTAACGCGGTTGACGTGATAAAACTGCTGTTTGCGGCTGATGTCCCACAGTAAAGCGGCGCAATTGAATTAAGATGAAGTCAACGTTTTAGCACCTCCGCCGGTCGAGTCGACGCGTTTTCGTGGGGAATGTATGAGCGGCAGGAGTTGCGCGAGTTTACGAGTGTACGCGTTTGCGTACTGGCAGGCGGTATTGCTTTTGCCCTCGTGGGACAACCTGCCAAGTACACGCGAGATAACGTCTACCCTCGTCGAGGCCCGCGGGCGTAGCTGTATTATGCTAATCCAATGCAAATCCGCGAGAGCCGCGAGAAGAGAGCAAGGCTGAGGCCGCCAGTCCAACGTAGCAGTCATTACTTGTAATCTAGTGACTAATACCGATAAAGTCGGTTCAATAGAAATGCTAGTGCATTATGGTCTGGTTGAAAACAGACGTTGTTACACGATATGTCGACGAAACAAGCGATCATAAAGTTGTCACTAAGGATTAAACCTAATTAAATTTATATTTCTTGAATCGGAGATGGTTTCAATGAAATATAGAGTGTCTTGTAGTATACAGGATGATTTTTTGAAGACGTTGCAGAATTTTTGTTGTGAGAGCGCGCGATAAGATGATTCATCTGAGATAGGAAAGTAACGTTAAGTATTCAGAAGCCTCTTTATTATTTGTTATTGCGCTTGATAAGTAGACTCTCGCATTTTGTCTTGATCTGTTTTTGTTTTATTTTATTTCTTCCTTTTATATTAATTTAATATTCATAAAAGAAAACAGATCAAAAGAAAACGCGGGAGTTTCAACTTTTTAGGTAAAATTTATACATACAAAATAGAATATCTGTCTATCTGTGTCCTATAAATTTATAAATTCTTTGATCGATCTGGACTAAATTTTGCATAATTATTTTTTAGAACCCTGCGACAAGCTACATGAAACTTGGACACCTCATCCATTCTTTCTGATTTCATCCCTTTGACACTCCGTGATAACCCGGACAACGTCAGGTTATGTCATTACTTTCTTACCTCAAATTGATCGCCTTATCGAGCTCTCTCATAAATTTGGTAACATCTTTTAACACTGAAAATCTTCCCTATCTTCAATATAACAAATTTCAATATAGTTTATATTTTCCTATGTATTTGTGAACGAAGTTATCTAAAGGGAAGATGTTTTTTTTTCTTTATTCCGTTTTAATTTGCAATTTTTCATTCAATGGCTCTGGTTCGTTTTCAATTAGATCGTTGCATCGAATTTTCCATATTTTTAATTGTATTTTCCATTGTAGTTACATTGATTACTCACGTAATTAGTGAGGCCGGTGAGCGGGGTGCCATTGGCTGCCAATAGTATGTCGCCAGACTGGAGCTTGTTGGACAGGGCAGCGGGCTGTTGCGGGAATAGTCTCTTCACCCTGACCGGCCCAGCGGTGCCACCACCGGAAAGGCTCAAGCCGAGACCGCGACTGCTCTTCTGCAGCGTCACTCGGAATGTGCTCTCTGAAAGTTCGAAACATTTCCAGTGTGCACGCGAGACTCCTCTGAACAGCGACACGTCTAGCTGAGAATGTCCCGCTTATCTGTGTTTCGCGCGTCCCTCGCCGAACCTCTCGCGCTCGTAGTTGTCGTCGCGATACGAAGTCGAGTTGCAGAAGCTGGACGTGCAAATTGCAAATTAAACAGAATTCCTCGAAAGCCGAAGTTACCAATTTAATTTCCACTTATTACGAACTACAATGCGTCTCTCTACAAGGCAATCAAGCCGATCCTGACAAGATAGACGCAATTCCACTCAAGTCTTCCGTCCAACTTCTGCATGACGTAGAAACATCGATGGCGACTCGTAGTCGAGAGACAGGCTCCCGTTCGATCGAAATTCGGACTTCTTCGAGTGGCGTCTGGCGCGACAATTTATCGTCGCCGTCGCAGCGACGTATGACCTAATATCCGGTAGCAAGCTACAATAGGAACAATTACTTTCTGTCGCGGCGTTCTATGCAACACTGCTGCACTGCATGCATATTTCAACTGCTGCAGTGGTTTTCGCGGAATGTATCCTGTCGGTCATAATTTTCGCGCCACTCGCGCGGAGGACACGCTTCCGAAATACGCGTAAGCACACACACACATACATACACACGAATGCGCGTGCTCCTCGACGAGTGGTTTGCGTTGCACATCGGCAAAATTTACCGGTGTTTGCGATCGATTGTTTGATTTTGAAACTTTGATTTTATGTAACTGTGTCAGAAAGTGTTATGTCACACGTTGTGTGCGTTGTTGACATTTAAAGCCGAAGCGTTCGCATCGCAAAATAGAACTTAACAGCCACTTAATAGCAATCAAAGCGCGGACGAATAAAATTCCGATAGAATTCATCGAAAGCTCGAAGCTAGATCATACAGCAAAGCGGTAAATTTGTAAACAGGACGAGTTAACGATAGATGCACTGCAAAATGAAGCGACGTTGAAGTGTGTTTTAACAACACGCTTATATGTCTTCACTTTTAACATATTGATTTTAACTCAATTATTTTCGAAAAATATTTTTAACACAGTAATTTGAATATAATTTGCAGTTAATTTAAATTGCACAGAGAAAAATGTCATTTTATTGCTAAGAAGACTGCTCAGTTTAATTTCTTTCTTTTAAGTAATGTTAAGTAATGTTAAGTAATAGTAAGTAATGGTAAGTAATGGTTATCTTAAAAAATATTTTTTGATAAAAATCTTCAAATATACTAATTACAAATTTGAGGGAAAGCTCATTATCATGCACTCAAAAAAAAATTTCTTCTTTTCGGAAGAATATTATGAAACATTATCGAAGAAAACGTTGCCCTGACTTCGTGTGATAAACAAACCAAACTTTTCTTTTAGTTTAATATTTTTATTAAAATATTAAATCTACTAAAGAATTCAGAATATGTTTCAGGCATATTTGACGTTATGATGATAGAAATTGTGAATATGTAAGTCTATGAGACCTGTGGATATATAAATCTCTATGAAATACTTAAAACAAATAATGTTTACTTGAACGCAGTTTGCATTTTTCTGTGTGTGCCAATATAGAATTTTAAAAGTAAAAACGCGTGTTACGTGTTATTATAATAATATATGTTGCAGCGTGTTTGCGGATTATGATCCTCATTAAAAACCAATATTCACGAATCTTCCACTGCATATATGCATATGTAAGTGATATTATTGTGCAGATTCATACATTCAGTGGAAGAGAACAAATGTCGCCGTACATCATTATACATGTATTATCACATATAATATGAAGAAAATTTATATTACATATCGCCTCATTATCAGAATCCACTACGTCATTAAACGATCGTAAGCACCGCACTACAGTAAAGACACTCGTTGCAATCTCAATGGTCCAGACGAAAAATTCGATCGATTCTGCTCTATAGGATCTTATAGATTCACCGAGATTCATTACCATCGCGAATGTCACGGAAATTTGAACTTTTTTTTGTTTTTTTTAAGTGGAAATCAATGTGAAACGAGCTAGGAATGACTCACCTTCCACCGGATATTGACTCGATCCGGCCGACATATCGCGCGTATTGTTCACTTTGTTCACTTCGCTCGCTATTCAAATTGTACCCGGGCCTTCCCCGGCCGCCACCTTGCAAAGGGTAATTTACGTTTGCCGCGTTATTGTCTGGAATCATACAGTGTCACTCTCCTCCCGAAAGAGGACCGGCCATTGTTGGAATCGTTTCGGAATTGTTAGGCCGGACTCGCTCAATGGATTTCCCGATCGTTCGCTAAACGCCTCGTGAAATTGGACGGCGGATTTCACGAGAGAGTGTGGACCTTCCTGTGCCACACCGTGTCACGCGTATATACCAAGCCGCTGCGTACACGGCTATTACAATTAAGATCACGGTTGCTGACAAGGCGCCTGCACTTTGGGAAATGTTGACCGAAGAGCGACACAATTTCTACTCTGCTTCCTCGCGCTCGATGAGAGAGCGATTACAAACTGCCGCGATAAGCTTCCTTAACGACCGCTCATTAAAGACCAGCACACTCGAAATTAACTGACTCGATAGAAGAGAACGACTGCGTATGTGTCTGCTGTTCTTAATTACAATATAATCACTACAAAGCAGTTTTTTGCGATAAGAGATTTATTTTGATCAAGAGAGAGAGAGAGAGAGAGAGAGAGAGAGAAAGGGGAATATGTAATCTTAAGATTTTAATGAGATACTTAAAGAAGAAAAATAATGTTATTAAGCGTTTCATTAAAGCTAATTAATTAATTTTCAATTAATTATTTATCTTTGATCATTAATCTTTAGTTAATTTGATATAAAGCAATGTTGATTAATAATTAATAAATGACTAGAAAGATAACATTTCTGTGTTGCGTGACAAATTTTTCAGATCCAGAAAATGATTAGAATTATATATATATATATATATATATATATATATATATATATATATATATATATA